GGTGTGAGTAGCTCCTTGTTTTCATTTGCTCTGCATCTTAGAATTTTTGTTTTGTGAATGCACTACATATGCAAAACACTTGCATTTCATTCTGGTGAAAACTCCAGAAATGACCCCAGAAAACATTTAAAGATCTTGTTAATTTGTTTAGTACAATCTCATTCAAAATGTCCAAAATAGCAAAAGTAAATGAATAAATACTAGTGAATCTGTGAGGGTTTAGTTTGAGGAAAGTGCTAATGAGCAACATTCTAACATTCTGATGGTAATCTGGTATAATATTTCTCATGTTCATCAATCTAGTTCAGTACAGTAGCTTATTAGCATTTGCTAATCAGCACTAAACAAAAGTACAAGTAGACATCAGGCCATAAAGGTAAAAATAATACAATATTTTGCCCAACTGATATTTCAGTTGACCATCCTTTGAGCCAAGCTGATAGGACTAAAGAATGAATAAAAGCCCAACAAATGCTGGCTAGTTTGTTATAATCAATTAAAAAAGAAAAACTATTGCACTGAAAGGTTCATTTAAGTAACATTATTAAAGTAAAACACTGTACATCAAGATTAATTGGTGTCACAATCTTAGATACTGTATGTTAGAGACACCACAAATCAGATTACAGCTCTGACTTTATTCATTGAACATCAGTAGTTGCCATTCACATTGCACTTTGAGAGACACCATCCCACTATTGATAAGGCCTGCTCTACCAAACACCATGGCAGTCATCAATGGCCCTTGTGAGTGAATCTAGCAATAACAGAGCCCTCCTGTTCTGAAAGGTCTCCCTGTGTAGCAATACTGAAGAAGTGGAGCAGCGCCAGAGCAGCTGTGCATGCTGAGGAGAATCAGGGCTTGTAGGGGAAGCTGGCAGGGAAAGACGGAGGCGACATAGCAGGTAATTGGAGAGCAGCAATATCCGCCATCTTGGCTCTTTACCTAAATAACAGCTTTGATTGAGGTGAATAGCCCCATAAAGGGTTGTGGTGGAGCTGATAAGCCTCGGTGTGGTTGGGTTGGTGCTGCAAGTCTCTTGGCATCCATGATAACTCTTGGCTTCCTGCAGCTGAGGCCTGGATCGGCGGGACGTGCACCTGGGATTCCAGGTGTCTAGAGGTAGAATCGATGGTGGTATCTCTCAACTGGCATTAGTGCCTACAGTGACATTCATCCTTCATGCTGGCATGTCAGATCTGGCAGCGGCGCGCCAGCTTCCTATCTGCCCACACAAATCTGTCTGAGTGAGCACTGCTGGAAGTCGGCGCTTCCTTCAGTCTGGGATGAAGAAAAATGCAAAGTTTGTGAAGGAAACTGGGCTGCTGTGCTATCCAGAAACCTGGAAAGTTACACCAACAACCCATGCTAATGTAATGACTATAGAATTTAAAACATGAGTGGAAAAAAACAATTTTCCTAGAAGATGTCACTGAGAAGAAAAATGTGTTTCTTTGAGCATGGCAGCAAGGGTGTTATGGAGAACAGAGCTGCTTTGAAATATCTACCTCATCTCTTGCCCTTGAATAATGCTAATCGGGACTGAAGCTACATTAAGGAATGTTTACTGCAAAGCATACAAGCACCGAGAAAAAATATATTTAAGAGGATGATTTAATACACTGGGGGGCAGTTAAAAGTGTTCTGTCTGAGCAGGTCTATTTACAGGCTCAAAGAAACAACTAATAAACTGCTAAATCCACAGAGCTTCACCTTGGCCTCAGGTGGAAACAGATACAGAGTGTAAGGTAAGCAGTGCTATGGTGTGAAGTGTCTAATTTAAAGTGTCTGTGTGTACAGATAAACCTGTAATAACTGTAACCCCCCTGCTCAAGGATTACATCGCATGACAGGTGTTTGCAATCACTGTTATTTTCCTACTGCAAAAAACAGCCTATCACGACAGCTCATAAATTCTTCAGTGGTCTTCAGGCTTCCCTGAGGTTGTTTAGTCAACATCTACTTCCATCACTTTCCCTAGCCCATACAAACATAATGCAACAGCATACATTCATCACTGGGTTTTCTCCCCTGAAAACATTTTTTTCTGTGCTGACTGCACAGGATCTCATACCAGGTTTCAGAACAGCTACATAGTTTTGGCTGGATCATCTACTGGCATGGAATGATAACAGCAGCCACGGTGCCCACTTGTAGTGTGGGGATGTAAATTCCGGGCCATTTTTATACTTAGTCTTGCTAATATTACAGCGCTGACGTGATGGTGGCTCTGCTCATGGAGGTGCTGAAAGGCCAATCCATGTGAATGAGAAAAAATGTGTCCTCAAGAGGAAAAAGAGGTTTTTAATGGGATGTTCACACTCTGTTACCTGCCTGACGGGAACAATCTCACTCACTCACCTTGTTTGCCACTCAGACACTTCTGTGTACAGGCTGCTAATTAACAGAGCTCTTGAATGCTTCATGAGCAAAGTGAGTACATGCACAGAGAAGCCTGGTTCATATTCACAAATGCTCCTTGTGTATAGTAAATACTTTATTTTAAAATCAAATCATATGGGCGTATCAATCAAATAAAGAGTCAGAAAATGCCCATAGTAGCAGAACTTTTACCCTCTAGATAGGATGTTTATGGGTCAACAATTTCATCATTGTCATATAATAAATATTGCACTATATTTAGATTCTGCAACATTTTTTATCAAGTTATACACATCATATAGTTCAAAATATCCGATATAGCTACTGACACAGAGAAATTAATTTAACTAATTTAATTTAACAGATTTTCATATTTTTTACTATTATATTGTAACAATAGAAAATTTACCATAACCAAAATACTAATCATAAACTTAACTGAATGTTTTATTTCATATTTCATTCAATTCAATTTTATTTGTTTAGCACCAAATCACAACAAAAGTCATCTCAGGACTCACCTTACTATTATTATTATTATAATTATAGAGGGAAAACCCAACAAATCCACCTCGAGCACCTGGTGACAGTGGGGAAGAAAAACTCCCTTTAACGGAAGAAACCTCCAACAGACCCCGGCTCTTGGTGGGTGGCCTTCTGCCTCAACCTGTAGGGGTGAGCAGATAGAGGAGAGAGAAAAGAAAAGCAACAAGACACAACAAACAATCAAACACTGGTCAGGTTGATGTGGCCGGTGACTGCTCATCAGAAACATACAGCTCCAAAGCCAGAAAGGTACAGGGAGAGAGAGAGAGAACACACTATGGAGGGAGGGGAGACAAAGTTAATGGCACGTAATGGTGGCATATAGGTGCATGGAGAGTGATAAGAGGAGAGGAGAGGAACTCAGAGCATCATGGGGGCCCCGCAGCAGTCTAGGCCTATAGCAGCATAACTAAGGGAAGGGTCAGAGTCACCTGAGCCAACTCTAACTATAAGCTATATCAAAAAGGAAAGTCAAAATATAATTTCAAATTTCATCAGAGTTCTTTTAACGGTATTTTCATGTTATCTTCTAATCTTTAGTTTGATATATTAATTCATTTCACACTTTGTAATCTGCATAATCTTTGCTTAACTTAATATTTTAATATATTTTAAATATAGAAGATACTAAAATACCAAAAATGAGTCAATATTGGTAAAGAAATACTGTATGTGCTGTAAGACTGTCACACTAGCTGCTCTGTGAGGAAGCTCATCGCTTTGGCTTAAACACTAACGTTTAGTGGGTATAACGTTTAACATGATGTTCATCGGTTTGCGTGTTAGCATGCTAACTCTAGCTAATTAACACGCATGCACAAATATGCAGATGGTGGTTCATCTCATGCTCCGAGTCACATCTCATGACATTTTGACTTCTTCATATACATGCAAGCACTCAAATGTTTCTCTGAAAGACACAAGCCTTGCTCTTCTGACCTTTAGCTGTGACCTTTAGCAGTCCCAAAATACAAATGATAGTCATTTATTGTCCTCAGCAGTGCTGTCAATGTGGAATGCCATGTGTCTAACTGACTACAAGCTGCATAGCTCATGCTGCTGGGAAATCATGGGAAGATGAAAGTGCTGAAGAAAGCTTCTAGACGTATGGGTGTTGGTATGAAATATATGCACCATCCACTAACTATTCATCAATCAAAGTTTGGTTGGGTCATTGTGGAACAAATGAATGTTTTAAAGGGTACATCATGCACATAGTCTGAAAATGCATTTTGAGGAAAACCAATACTGAAACTTAGGCATATTTATACTGGAGCTGTTTATGCCACTTTTTCAACCTAGAACACACGCTTGCATATGCAAACACACATACGTGCATACATCCACTGTCCTCTAGGTCCTATACTGTATACACAATCATCTGTGTGCCTTTTGCTGCATTGCATTTTTCAGGTAATATGAATGAAATCAAGGTAAAAAGAGATTCTCTGGTTGCAGACAGTGCTGGGGTGTACATATGTATCAGCACTGCACTACTCCCCCCACAACCATCCAAACAGCGAGGTGATTAATAACACCCCCTCCATTACCCTTTGCACACAGATGGGACGTCAGGTTGAAGGTTGATGGAGAACAGCATGGTGCGCGGTGTTACATACAGGCAGATTAGAGTTTGGACATCAGGCTGTGGCCCCTCCACCTTTACCCTGCTGCCTCACACGATTTGTATCCTTCAGGTATCCTTCCACTGCTGCTGATGCCATTTGTCACTGCGGGGCCCAGTTGAAGACTCCTTTAAAAAAACAGAAGGAAGGAGTGCTTTACTCTGGTTCTGAGTGATTTATGAAGTGCTGGTGTGTGCTTACAGTGCTGTGGATTTACAGTGTTTTGCTTGAGGAATATCAAAGTCTCCAAAGTTGTCAGAGCAAAACACACTGAACAGACGTGTCTCACACTTATAAATGTGTATCATTTCACTTTTTTTTAAACTCAAGTTGCCATCTTTATAACAGTCTGAGTGAAAAGAAAAGTTTATAAGCTCAAAGACATCAAAGCTTTACAAATGTTCTGTATAACCCACACTGACAAGTGTTTTGTGTACGAGGCAGTTTTTAATTTATGCACAGTAACACAAGCAAACATGTAAAATGAGTTAATTGCAACTGAACCACTGAATTACCTACTATCTGGTTATATACTCTGAACAGAAATATCTTAACTAGATGAAAGGATTTCATCTTATATTATATGGGTAGCACTCCAGTTGGGCTTCGGAAGGAATTTGCTACACTTCACCTGTACAGCAAATGCCATGAACATCTTGAACAACAGAAATACATAGAAGGAAAAAAAAAAGAATAGCTAACACTATTAAAATTCAAAACCATTTTTTTTTTACAAAAAAAATTTAAAAAGTATGGTGACAAAACCTAAACTTGATGCAGACAGATATAAATACTCCTGATGACTTGCCAGAATTCACATACACTTTCTTTCTTTACAAAAGAAAATGATTAATTCTTTAAACCCTCAAGACAGTGAATAAATGCATTTAGAGAAACTACAGACAGAGGCTTTGAAATTAATTTCCTGTACAAAAAACATATGTACCTTGAAATGCAAAACAAAATTCTGAAAACAACAAAAGGCTTCACGATGATAGTTTAGTCACTGCTATCTGCTAGACCCTGCAAGAGCATGTAATTGAAAACAAAACAAAAACGATATCTACATCCCGATTCAAGGACTGGGGTTGGATATCGATTTAGGTGGGGATTGCTGCAGAAGTTTAAAAGCTGCCTGGAATCACCACAGCCTTTAATATTATGACTTCCAAAACCCGTCCGGAACCAAAGGCCAGTTCCCACAACCTTGGAATGTGATCAACCATGCAAAAGAAACAAAACAGCAGAGAAAACACATCAGATGAAGTCATGCAAAGCGGTTTGTGGTTATTTCCCATCATTACAAATACAGGTCTGTTTTAGAGGCATCACAGGAAAGTTCAAAGGAATCATATGTCCCATAGTCTCTTGGAGTTAAGTTCTCATGTTCCCCTTTTTTGTCCACAATGGGAAATCCAATTGTCCGTTTCACAGCGAGTCAAAGCAAGAGTTGCCCCCAGAAATTAAGCTTTCCAAGTGTACCACAAGGCACCTGAGAGAAAGTGGGCATTTCCCTCTGTTGGCAACACTGTGTGTCTATGATTTCACTACAGATCAGCTGCCACTGAGTCTTACTGTAGATGGTGTCATGAATAGTAATACAAATCACAATGAAAAGAATACAGTCAAAATGGATGATAGGGTTGGTGTTCACACTATGGCATGGACTCTGAACTGCTGGATCAAAGGTTAATAATCATCGTAGGTGTTGAGGTCGGAGAAGTATGCATTGGTATAGGTCTTCCCGGCAAGCTGTGGGTTGAAGTACTTATTTCTTTCCTCCAGAATCAAATTGTTTTTATTGAAGGCCTGCAGATAAACAAAAAAGAAGAGGAGAGGACACATGGATCAAGTATTTATTCAGTCCAGTTGGCAAGGTAAAAGCAAATCCATTTAGCTAAAAATAAATAAAGAAAGAAAAGAATAACACAAGTCAATGGGAGGTCGCTCAGTGAATGAAACATAAATTTTACAGAGCAAGGTCAAAGTATTTGCAAACTGGCTAGGAAAAGCATTGGCTACCAGGGGGCTAAATTATTTTGATGCAAGTCCATATGTCCACCTCTGTCATCTTTAAAAACCCAGCATCAACAGTTTTTATCGCCTTGGATTGTTGGCCCTCTGGGACAATCAACATTAAGCCATAAAAGTTGATCAGAAGGGAGTCACATTTCTGTTAAACACTAAGGAAGAACCATGGGGACATCTTCTTTGTCCCTGTGTGACATGGTAAACATGGAATGAGCTTCTAAGATGGTGCTCAGTAGAACATCAGCAATTTAACAAATGGAAGTGTTCATCTCCGGTCTGTTACAGATTGTGTTGGCTGGGAGTCCCTTGGGGGTAACGTAATTGAACACTTGATGATGCTGTTTTTGCAGTTGATGGATGTTTCTGACTAACACTGATGGGGAACCAGTGCGCTGGATGAAAAGCTCAAATATTTAGCTTCTTTCTCATTATGTGATTTGCACACAAAGGAAATGTAATGAACACTCCTAGAGGACTGGAGACAGTCTCTGCAGGTGACCCCATGGCTGCTTTTAAACAGCTGTGAATATGATGTTTATTAGCAATATCTACTTTGTCTTCTTGTCCAAAACCTTTTTAATTGGATGAAGAATGATTGTAATTGAAGTTTTGGAGCAGTAAAAAAAAAATTGCTTAAAATATAAAGTGGCATTAGCGATAGAGAGGTAACAAATGAGTATAATAAAAGAGCATCACAATGAATTTTCTTACTTATGTAAAACTAGAAGACAAAACAGGAAAGACAAACATGAAAAAACATGCAAATGAAGGCATTTGTTGAAAGAGAAAATACACTGCCTTCTCCCGAGGGGGGATGGGTCATGATGAAGGGATGAAGGAATCTGAGCAGAGAAAGATAAACTAGTCTGTACTCCAACCTGCCACACACAGGAAGTGCCACAGGAAGTGGATAGGCAGGGCACAGTGGGGAAGAGGAAGTAGTAGTAGTAGTTGGGGTCAAAGAGTTGTTGGGGGGGGGGTCAAGAGGCGGGATGTTGTAGAGGTCAGAAGTCAGTAGTTAGTAGAAAATCTCCAGGCCACGCATGGACACCCCCATGTTAGCAGAGAGAGGCTGGTGCATGTCAGGGTCATCCAAGGGCAAGAGTATCGACACGTCTGGCTGCAAGGAGGAGAGGAATGGGCAAGAATCATCCTCAGGCCATAATTTGGTTTACAGGAAGCCTGGAAATTTATCAAACTGAACATAAAACTTCAGCTAAACGGTGACTTAGGATTGTGCTCATAAACGTGATTGCTGGAAATACTCCAGTTGGCCAAGAAACCAGTATGAAGGATATCTATGATACATGCTGCATAATAATAATGACTAATGTGTCATTAACATCAGGATTTGAGCCAAAAACTCTAAAATGTAGAGTCAGATGTTCATTAATCCTTTCTATAAAACTCAAAAGAGGCATAATAGGGTCCTGCACAATTAATGATTGAAAATTCACTGCAACATCTGAACCGTTTAGGCTCAGCGAGTAAGGGGTTGAAGCAGAATGTACTTTTGGAAAATTAGCATTTGTCATGCAGCGCCTTTTGTATTTTCGCATGGACTGTTTATACAGATATTCTATCTACAACTGAAATAACTGAATTATTCTCTGTGCTCCTGACTCTAATTGCATGACAGATGAACACTCCTCACACCTTTATACTGAAATTAAATTACAGTCAGAGATGTTGAGCCAAAAAATTTGTTCTCTCGCAGTTTTACAAAACACTGATATCTGTGAAGTAGGTTTGCAAACAGAGATCCCGGTCGTCATTTAGTTTACAATATATATCAAAGGCCTTTTTAGATGTGCACTCCTTTGCATTATGTGATGACATCTGAATGTGTCAGCATCACTTTTCCTTAAAGTTTTACCAGGTTGGACCTAATAACATTTATGTATCACTTTCAACATGGGACAAGTCTGAACTGTATGTAGTGGCATCATCATGATGTACTGACGTAGGAAGTTGCCTTCTAATCTGTACGCGTCCCTCGTGAGCTCACTAAAAAACACGAGTTTTGAGCAATAACATGAGAAAACCAGTTTCCTTCATGGAACACATGCATGTTAGTTCATTATGTTGGCCTTAAACTGTACATTATATGTCACTTGATATACAGTGCGGCCCAGTCACATGCACATGGCAAATATTGTGTGTGTGCCGTGGTTTTCTCCATCATGGTCATGGGTATGTCTGAATAAAGTCGTTAGGAAATATAATGTAATAACTCATTAATAATTAGAACATCTACTTTGTACAACAGTATTTCCCCACTGTGTGGAAGCTAGTCCTGGATACTACTGTAACAGAAGTTAGGTTAACATTAACTGCTCTGTCCTGCCTATATAAGATCTGAATACACTGTGTCTGAAGCTGTTTTAGGGTGAAAAAAATGCACAGTGTTGAAGTGGTTGAAACACCCTTTAATACAGAGCACCGGGGATCCAGCTGGAGCATCAAATAGCTCTGGACAAGCACTAATCACCAGCTCAGTCTGGCACTTTGTATTAGTGGATAAGAGACTGCGAGAGTAGCTGGATCTCTGTCCCTGGCTCCGCTACATCCGACTATTTGCACTTTAGGATGCAATTATGATACAAAGACCCTGTCTAAACAGGGGAATGCGCAGATGCACAGTCTTTTTGGTCATTATCTCCCCACGCACTGATAAGTAACTGCATTAGTATGTTATGAGAAAGCAGTGTATGACCACTGACAGAGAACAAAGTCACACACTGAGACACACAGCAGAAGGACACAGAGAGAAGATGTATGTACAGCTGCCTATACGTTACCCAGTTAGAGTGTCAGTGCATGACAGGAGGTGGTGTGACAGTGAGAGTCATGCAGTAAGTAAAGCATTTAATCACAACTGACATTAGAGGAAGAGGCAAACTGCTGCTTACTGACTCAGAAAGGGAGTGTGAGATCAGCTGATTAAGTCAAACAGCAAGGAAATGTTACAAAATGCTCCTTTGCCTTTACACATATGGACATCTCTCAAATGTAATTCACAAAGAACTAATAGCAAACCTGTCCACAGACCTTGATGGCTTCCACAGAGTCATATTTGTCTAGTTTGTTGATGTGGTTGGTGATGCTGGTGTTGAGCGGCGCGGCTGAAATTGGGTGGATGACAGTGGCGTCGTGTGACTGCTGCTGGTAGCGCTGGCAGTACGAATAGACCAGCAGGGTAACCAGACAGCCAAGGATGGAGCTGCTGAGCCCCACAGCGATCAT